ATGTAAAATTTTGTGTAATTACATTTTAATTCAAATGTATCAAGTTGGTGTATCATGCTTAATGAGACGACCAATATGTATGTATGATGTTTTTGCAAAACTCGTGATCGATCACAACAAAAATAGCTCGTAACTTATCACATTACACAACAAAAAAAACTCGTAACAAAAAACTCTTATCACATTTACAATGATGGAAACAAAAGACGCTCAGAACAAAAGAAAATCACGCACAGTAAGTATAATTATTCGTAATGTTAAGCCCTGGGTTGCATTTATAAAACTACTCTTTAGAGAGGATTTGGATTACTTTTTACGTATTGTAATTACGTAATAGCAAAGATGATTCGTTCGTAGCTTATAAAGGATATACAATCCAAAAGAAGTTTCTTAAACCAAAGAATTATCATGTTTTTTGAAGAAACTTATGCTTGTTGTATCAAAACAGCAAGCCCTTTTCCTTTGGGTTGCCTTTGTGAGATCGCTCTTTTTTAATACAATGAAAAGGTGTATTACTGTACTGTATATTCTGCAAGAGTGATTCCGTTCGAATTAGTTTTTTACATATTGTAAAGATAATTCGCTCGTAGCTCCATAAAGGATATACAATCCAAAGAAGTTTTAGCCACGAAATTATCATATTTCTTGGAAAAACTTATGCTTGATGTATTAAAACACAAGCCCTTTTCCTTTGGATTGCCTTTGTGAAATCGCTCTTTTAAAATGCAATGAAAAGGTGTGTTATAATCGGTAAGGGTGATTTCGTCGAATTACCTTATTACTTTTATATATGTTATTAGCAAGGATGATTTGTTCATAGCTCCGTAAAGAATATAATTCAAAGAAGTTTCTTTAAATAAGGTCTACTGATTCCATAAGAGGATTTAGTTTCGATTCTTCCTTATTATAAAGAAACTTATGCTTGATATACTAAAGAGCAAGCCTTATTTCTTTGGGTTATCTTTATAAGATCGCTCTTTTGAATACAGCGAGGGAATTATGCTCAAATCATTTCATTGCTTTTATACATTGTAATCGTTGGTAAGGATGATTCGGTCGTAGCTCTACAAAGAAAAAATTTACGCTTTATATGTAAACTGCCTTTGTGAGATCACTCTTTTTTGATACAGTCTGTAGACCGATTTCGTTCAAATTATTTTTGCTTTACATATTGCAATAATTAGTAAGAGTAATACATTCGTAGCTCCATAGAGGATATACAACCTAGAAAAAGAAACTTACGGTTTATTATCCTTACTTAGGCTGTTTGCATTTGAAGCTTCGTTTAACGTTGTTTTTTATTTTTTTATTTTTGTAACAAGGGGAAGAGGGTAAAAATTACCAACATTAAAATTAATCGAAGTTTAGGTAGTTCAGATGAACCTAAATTTGGTTCAAGTAACCCTAACCTAGATTTTGTTCGTGTTTAATGTTGATTATTTGTCTAGCTTTCTGAGAGGATAACGTTTTAATTTCAAACGCTTAATGATAGACTAATCAAGGAGATTGTTTAATTGTCCTCGTACTGTGACTGACATATGGGGACGCTCACAGCAAAAGCAGGGGATGGGACTATATAATAAATAGCACCATCCCCCTGCTTTTGCTGTCGTGCCCATATATAACGATAAAATTACTTTTTTTAAAAATAGCACGTGCAATTAAAAAATCTCCATCAAATATCTTTTATTTAATGAATATTTTCACTAACATAATTTTTTTATTTATTAGAGTAATAAAGCAAATCAACTCCCGTCGACTCCTTCAGAAAACAATAACAAAGAAAACGTTTGAAATATCAAGAAGGTTAATATAATAATATGCTATATTTACTTTTTTGCTGATTTAAATCATATCTGCTGATTTTGACAATAATATTGTCAAAATCAGCAATAAAAATCTTTTTTTGCTATCTTTATGTAGTGCTTAGTGCTATTCGATTCTTTTTTTTTTTTTTTAAAAAAAAAAAAAAATCGATTTGCTTATAAACTTATGAACACCTGTGCAAAATAGTTAAATTTCTTAATTAAAATTTTTTCTTCACCGTAGAGCACGAGAAGACCGTTGAATTTTCACTTAATGCTGCTAGTCCGTCAACTGCAGCAGAGCCAGGAAACTTTTTTAAGACCACTCAAAAATACAAGTCCTCCAATAGTCTTTTATCATAATGTATTTAGTAAATTTCTAAACGATTTTGAAAATGTGAATTTAAAAATACCATCTGACCTTTATGCATGGACCCAAGACCTTATTATAGTAGCCACGGAGCATTATGAAAATGAAGATGGTCGTGCAAAAGTTATTAGAGAAAGGTTGTCACAAAAATTGGTGCCAATTATCCTACAACAATATCAAGGAAAACGTATGTGTGATGGGGTAGCTATAACAAGAGTATCTAGACACCATATACCTATCAGTTGTTTCTTGAAGTGAAAAATGAAATTGGTTCAGGCGGATGTGACCCAAGCATTCAAGGCGCAATTTATTATCGAGATTACTGGACACAGCAAAGTGCAAATTTTATGTTCGATACTTTTAGTTGGTGCATTGCAAAAATTTATATGTTGATTAATTTTTTTTTTTTTTTTTTTTTTTTTGTAGTCTAATAATGTTGTGCACCATCATTCATTATTGCCATATCGTCTATCTCAGTCATTTGGATTTTGATGCCCCAGTAAGCACTGGTATCGGAGACATTGCCATTGTTATTAAATGCCGTTAATGAAGGAAAATTGACATTAGATGATATTAAAACGTGTCTTTATATGAATCCTCAAAGCATTTTCAATATACCAGAGCAACCAGACACCTATGTAGAAATAGAAATTGATCGAAAGGTAATAGTGGCACAAAAAGAAGGTGGTTGGACACCATTTGTCGGAAAAAAAAAACATTGTCAGGTACAGTGAGTCGTGTTGTTTTAAAAAAAAGACACCGTTTATCTTGATGGTGGATCATATTCTACTGGTACCAGTGGAAATGACATTTCATGTTATTGCGAAAACTCCAGCTATAAAGGAATTATTAACAAATAACGAGTCATTGCAAACTCAGCAGCAAATACAACAACAACCATCACAGCTTGTGTCTAGTCATCCTCCTGATATTTTGTC